TTTCTGAAGTACACATAGGAAAACTAGACTACTGATTTTTTTATGGTTTTATTACTATATAGAAGTAATATTAAGAAGGCAGAGTTGCAAGGTAAATCCTTTTCCTAATTGTGTCATTATAGAAGTACACCTTCCATTTTTTCCAGTAGCAAACATCTATGCTCAGCAGAAATTAACAGCTTTCAAAAGACTGTTGCTCAATGTTAGAACAAAATATGGAGAGTATAAGGAAAAACAAATAATTGCCAATCTTATGATAGGGAAAGCATCTTATCTATAAGACCTTGTGAATGTGTATGGAACATCATGCCGCAGTAACTTGGAGGTGGACAGTATAGGCTCTGAGGCTTAACAGCTTCATAATGAAGTAGATTTTCCAGAAATCCAGCACACTACTTATTCTACCAGAATCTGACACTTCAACCTCTAATTATGTTGCAGTGCATCAAAACATTTCAATGCTGCAGATTTAATAATGGACAGATGAATGCAATATGTGGGAGAGCCTTGTTAAGGCTAATACAGACAGGGCATAGGACATGATTTTTCTGCTAGATACTAGAAAATTTACTACAGAGACAGTCCCTATCCTCCCCACTCACTGACAGTGATTTTGAATTTCATCATAGTGACTTGAAATGTCGCAACTGAAAAAAATACTTTGAAAAATATTTTTGTTGAGGATTTTGACAATACAATATCTCCAAAATATTGCCACTCTTAGCAAGGAGTCATTGTCCTTTTCTGGATTTAGATACATTATCCATTGTCCATAAATTTTTCATTCAAAAAATGAGGTTATATATATCACCTAAATGGATTGGAGTCATGGGAACAATGAAATCTCTCCCTAGCCTCAAGACTGGTATATTAAGATTTCTTTCTTTTCTTTTTTTTTCCTACACTTTTTCCTTCCAGCACTTAAGTTCAGAAGAAAATAAGGATTTAAAGTTTTTCTTAATAAGTGCTGATTTTTCAGGTAGCTACTTATGTAACCTGATTTTTATGTCCTATTTATATTTTCTCTTTTTCATCTTTAAGCGTACATGTTGTGAAATGTTTTCCTGTGATATTCCTATCCTTTCTGATTTGCTACTCCTGAACAGTGTTTCACCTTCAGTGCTTGTTTCCTCCATCCTCTTCTACCATAGTTGCCAAGTACTAGCAGAATAATCTGAGACTGACAAGGAGCATGAGGTACTTCATAAGATGCATGAAGAAACCACCCTGTCCCAAATAATTTACAAACCTAAGGCTCTCATCTCATACTGAAGCCTGAATAGACAGACCATAAAGGAAATGGGTTCTATTATAGGTGAAAAGGCCTACTCACACAGGCCAACATGAAAAGTAGATGTCCTAAAAGAACAATTGGAACATGAAAGCTGACTGGAGGAAGGCTACGGTCCAATGCATACAAACACTTTATCCAAAGTATTGGAAGATTACCAATTCCCTACCTTGCAAAAAAACCCAAATACCTTTTGTCCTCCAGTATATCTTTGCTTCCCTAGCAACAGAAATTCTGTCTTTGTTTCCATTGTTCCCCCATGATGGCAAGTTTCTTGTCCTTCTTTCTGGCCAATAGTTCTGGCATCACCTGCAGCGCTAGGGAAGGAAATTCAAAGAAAAGTCCTCTACAGCTCAGCTGGGGTTAAGGTACCAGCTGTACTCTGCTAACAGGGTATTATGAAAGCAAAGAAATACATCATTTTAGAGAGGCTGCAAGTGTTAAATTGTATGACAGGAGGTTTTTTCCTGAGCGACGAGCCCATTAGTCTTTACTCCTACAAGAGCCTTATTCATTCTTCAGAATGAGGGAGGAGTCAAAGCACAGATCTGTTCCCCGGAACATGATTGATAAGATTGGCCTGTGATCCACAAAAACATACCACTGAAGTGAGAACAAAGGAAAGCAGCACTGCACTGTGGAGATGATGTATTTCTATTGGAATTGTCCTTTCTGTCTAGAACATTGTTAAAACAAAGCAAAACACAAGAAAATCAGGCAAGCATGATAAGCAAAAAAAATCCACCTAAACTCCAAACCTAAAGTATGAAGACACTGCAATTAACTAGTCAGGATAACCATAGGAATTAATTATACTCAGAATGCTGAATTTGTATATGACTTCTTATGTGGAATGAAAACTATTTTTAAAAAGACAACAGTTTATGAAAGTGTTTCAAGAACTTGACTGTCTTTTCTGAGTTAGAGGATATGCAAATTATTTTCATAAGAAGAACAGTATAAGGTGGAGAATGAGGCTAGTACTTTTAAAGAGGATCTTATATTTGCATTTTTGCTGCTAAACAACCAATTGGTCCATATTTTCAAATCACTCTGGAATAACAGAATAGGAATCAGAGAAAATCAGTCTTTTGGGGTGAGAGTTAATTTAAAAATAAAAATGAAAATAAATCACCAAATCTTTTTCCTTTTCTATTGGATTTCTAATAACACTACATGAAGATAGCTATTGGACTATTGGAGCAATGAACCTTAAAAAAAATGACATTCACCTGGGAAAAATGGCTTATAGCTAAGATCATAAATATATTTTTCAACCTTCTGCTTTTCAGTGCTCTGAAACTGAGCTCAAGATGATAGGAAGCCTAAGAGAGCTGTAAGTCTTTTCTTTCTGTCAATCCCAAATGGCATGCTTGTCTTCTTTTTCCACCCAGAATTTTTTTCCAGTCACAAAAATAAATCTAGACATAAGCTAATGCAGTAAGATCATCAGCAGAACTTAGCCTACCTGATAACTGGAAGTCACCAATCAGAGAAATAGGCACTCTATGTATGTATCTACGTATATATCTACGATGAACTGCACGTACACTGCTATTCCTAGAGTTACAATGACATAAGGCTTTTCTCTGGACATCAGCTATGACCTATGGTCCTTGGTTCATACCATCTCAACAATGCAACTAAGAGTTGCCAAAATTCTTCAGAAAACTTGTGTTGGTAAAATATCTATTTTAATTGGCAAGTATTTTGCGCAAATTTGCCGGTCATAAAATGTGGTGGGTTTTCTACCTTGACTATTCCATTCTAACAGAAATAAAGTACATATATTATTAAATTTCCAGAATAAATTTCTGGTGATACCTATTAAACCTTCATGATATAGATATCAAAGCTTTTTTATTATAAAACTTCAATTTTCTAAGATACATAAAAACGTGTTTTTAGTGGTAGTATTTTACTGTCACTTGTTTTTTTTTTCCATTAAAATATCTTAAAATTCATTAATACAAGACATAGCTTTTGAAAACTATTCTACAAAACTCAACCACAAAAAGTCATATAAAGACATGACTGCTTTTTTGCACTCTGAAAATTATTTAAGTTGGAGGAGAAGGAGATAGCCAGAAATTTGCACACTTTCATACAGATTAAAAATATCCATATGTGGAACTGCTCCAAAAGAGTTATCACATTTTAAATTGACACTTTGACTTCAACGTACACATGCCTGTAGATTTTCCTGAGTGCTGGAAGTCATACCACAGAACATTATGTGTAGTGTTGGTCTCTCACTGAGGCCCATAAAATCACCTTAATTTAGCCTGACAATGCTGTAACTGACTACGTACCTACCTGAACTGCACAAACAGAACATGTCCACTGTTTTTCCTTTGACCTAAACTTGTGAAGAGGGCAAATATGAGCAGTGCAATACCACACCACAGATTTTACTCCTGTAAGAATCTACGGCTTAGTCCACAAGAAATAAGCTTCTTTAACCCATTCTGCTGCTAAGGGCTTTCACAGTGCAGTACACTGCTCTTGCTTCACTGACCCTGACACAGCAGAAATATTGCACCGTTAAAACAGTCACAATACCATATTTATACTCCTGAAATATTAACTTAAAGCTTTGTTGCAAACTCTAGGCTACAAATACTGCTACATAAAAAGCTCTGAATTTTACTCTGAAGATCTCAGGTGAGACAGGGAAAAGAAAGGAATTAGATAAAGCCTCTCATTGTTCACAAATTCAGTGTAACATTGAAATACAACAGTTCTGCACTTCTTATTTGTCATCTTCATTGTCTTTTGTATGCCAGAAACATCCTTTTTGTGCACCTGTGCACCCTCTTTTGTGCATCATCGTTTTCTGGAGACTCTCCAACTCTATGAAACTGGCTTAGAGAGATTTGCTTGGAACCAAAACCTGTCAAAGTATCAAAGCATCAAACACAGAATATGTCTACACAAAAACTCTTTGATAGTGTTCTGCAGAGATGCAAAAGCTAGCTTTAACTTAGGTTTCCTAGATAATGGCAGTAATTTAGTCACATGAACTTGGAGCTCGGCAAGGGCCAGAACATAGTTCTGTGAAGAGTAACTTTAAAGAGTATCTTTAATCTTGATTTGGCAAATTTTAAGTATGTCAACTGCACTATGCAGTCACTTATTTGGCTACAGGGAATGTGCAGCTTAAGTAAATTGAAATTATTGTTGGAATTAACAATTCCAAAAGACATTCAAAAGTTATTTGGAAACACCACCTCTGTTCTTAGAGTGGCATCTTTAAGAGTTGACTTTAAATGCTGCCACTGCATCACCATAAAGAAAAATTGTTCTTAAGAACATAAAGAAAAACTGTTCTTAACCTCTCTTATATGACTGCTAAAGGACATTCCACATTTTCCCTAAAGCTAAATAAGATCTATATGGCAAACAATTTCAAAATGAAAGTAGTTTATGTAAACATTCAACAGTACAATGTTTGAATTAACACAAAGGTTCATAAGAAGAATTCAAAGTTTTTCAAGAGATACACATTTTCATACTGTAACTTAAATTTAGACAGAAACTTTTCTGCCTCATATTGTAACAGGCCAATCAACTGAAGATATTTCTAAAATAATGTAGACTTAGGAAAAAAAACTATGTGACTTTAGGGACAGGAAAACATGGAAATAGTTCTGTTAGCTGAAAATTCATGTTTTATATTTATTTTGTTGAAACTGAAATCTTCTCTTACCATCATGATTGGGATTTCCCAAAGTCCATGGCTCATCTGAGTCAAAATGGGTGTCTCCCCCAATTCCTGGGCCAGGGAAGTATGCATGAGCCAAAAATCCTCCCTCCCCATCAAAGGGAGAACTGTCTCCGTGAAAACCTGATGCAAAAATGATTGTAATATCCACGTCCCTCTTGCCATTTTCTAATTCAATATAAGGAACTTCTTCAAATGTTAGAGGAGTTACATTCTGCCACACATCGAAGGCACGGCGAATGGCTTTACGAGTTTCAGCATCACCTACTTTTGGAGTGACGTTCTTTATGCTGAAAGAAACAGAGAAATGTTAAATAGATTAAATTTGGCAGAGTGGAGAGTGACACCAATTACATCCATTTCCCCCTATTATTAAAAGCACTGTGCTTTTAATAAAACGTGCTAGTCTGGCTTTATGTCCTTTAAGTAGAGTATTTTTAAACAAGCTGGTGTAAAATTATTGTGTCAATCTGTGTAGCCCTTTATGCTAGAACTCATTGCATGTTAGCTAGGTTACTCTCAGCAGTACAAAAATCTTATTTTTAGAAGATTAAAAATATTTTTAAATGAAAAATTCTTAACAGTGGGATAACCAGATTAATCAACCACTGACTGTTTACCTCCTGGACCACAATCAGAATCCATCGCAGCTAGAGAACGGCATGTCATTTCTGATCAAAAGGAAAATGTTTCCAGTTAAATGAAATTTTAACTTCTTAGTGAGTCCATTAACAGTAGCAGACCTCCATACTGTGACCACCAACCAGTATTCACAAAGCCTTAAAAACAGTTCTTTTTGCATTTGTAACTGGATAGATAATTCCCTATCAGAAACAAGGCCTTTTTATTTCAATACAGGCTAAGGTGTCCTTTTCTGATCTGATTACTTCTATAAATCTTTCATAAAACTGTAGAATTCATTAGAAAAATCATTCTCTAGAAGACAATTATGTGCTAATTCAGAAATATATATTTAAACAGAACTTTCAGTCTCTACTACTTCTTCAAATGACGCACATCAAAGGCGGCAAAAAAATCATCAGAATTACAGTTGAATTCAGTCACAGTTACTAGTAAATTATAGTGGAAACATCCTTAAAATAACTTCTTTATTTATTTTTATTATTGAATTCAAGGAAAGAATGGCAATAATCAATTTCAGACCTATCCAATTTCCTCCATCATTTTTACTCAATTCATACGACCAGCAAAAACTCTGTTAAGTTTGTGTCTGTTCTGAAACTGCTGCAATTAGATGCTCTTTGTTCATTTGACATGTGCTTGACTGCATATTCAACACAAAGTTCAGAAATTACATAGTTCTAGAGTATATGTAAGATTTATGTAAGTTTACATTGCATAGTGTGTTAATGGAGAACAAAAATATTTTCATGTGTAAAACTGGAATGATTTATTTGTTTGGTGCATTAAATGTGCTTTATTATATGGTATTGTAAGTTTATATAAATGTAAATAAATCCTTCAAGTATAATTTTATAGATTTTAATTCATGTATATAATATTTTGCTCATAGGGTCACATAGAAACCATAAAGTTACCTATTTTGACTTCCACTCAAAAATATTCTTGTATTGAGTCCAATAATGCTAGTCTAACCAAAGCATTGTTTCTTTATAGCTAGTACGTATGTTCCAAAGAGATATCAAGACAGATTAGAAGATAATATACTGTAGAAAATTCACTGCTTCCCTTGATCTTTTGTTCCAAAGATGATTTAATCAGTCATTACATACTTCTGCCTATTTTCTTATTTGTCTGGCTTGTAACATTGGTTCTTGTTCTGCCTTTCTCTTTCACATACATGAGCTTTAAGAACATTTTTCCTCTTTAAAAAAGGACATTTCTGCACTGTGAAGTCATTACCTTTTTGTTGTGTCTTTGAATTTAAAAGTTTGAACTCTTTAAATCTCTTATTATAAGATATTTTCTCCAGTCTATTAAATATTTTCTGTGATTTTCATTGAACTCACTCCAATTTTGCAACGTTCTTTTAAAACTGACTCTCAGAACTACAAAGTACTGCTGTACTAATCTTGCTGTCAGAGAGAAAAAGTCCTCTGATCTGTAGGCATGGACTTACCCTATATGATGTAAATGTCATGTGATTCAAATTGCTTTGTATGATGTCCCTTCTTCATAGTTATTTACTCATCAGTAATTTTATGATCAGTATTGTGTTGATTTTCAGGTGATTAAAAAAATATGGATGCACTGGACCAACTACCAGCCTCCGCAGAACCCCTCTCTGAAAGGTCCCTCCTTTGAGAATTACTTCTCCGAGATGTTTTAGTTAGCAAGTTCATAAACTACTCATCCTGTGCCCCTTGAGAATGTACAGTATTTTATAACCAGAGCGTCATGTGGCACTAAATCAAAACACCTCACAAAGGCACACTTACATTGCCACTACCGAAAACTTGACAACAGTTAACCTAAGAATATCATTTACAAAGCTGATGAATTTTCTCTTATTCAATCCTGCAGTGTGCTCTCTAAAGCACATAAATTGTCTAAAGCACAGCTCACTGAAGGATTAGAGCCTCTATTATTTGCTACATATAATGAATACAGCAAATGAATCAACATGCTTTCATAGAAAATGGAATATGTCTAGCAAAACTGATATTTTGATGTAGGAAAAGTTAGTCTGAAAGTTACTGTTTATTTTTTATTGTTTGTATTTAGGAATGTTAGTAATGGGTAAGTCACACTTTGAGGTTGTGTAAACAGAGCAAAAGGATGGTTATCCCTCTTATGTGGGATATGAGGAAATGGATAAAAACAGATTGGAATTTTGTTTTGGTGGTAAATTGATTAATTATTTGGTCTAAAAGGGTTTGACTCATATTTTAAACCTAATCACTGTACATTTTCTTGCTTTTTCAGTGCACAGAATTAAGTTTTAGTCATTGATTACAAATGAAAAATTGAGCCATTGTGCTAGTTTCACACACATTAACTAGGGGTGATTACCTATAATGGGTGACCTTTTCTAGGGGATTCAGCTATTGAATTAGTTTTGAAATAGTATCCTACATCTCAGGATTCATTGTCAAGAAGAAAGATTTTTCAAAGCATACATTCTGTATTAAAACAAGACAGATTTCTGGCTTCCAAAACAACCTTCTGGAGAGGGCGAGATTATACTGAAAAATGTAGCTTCTAAAAGAAATTAAATAAATCAGTAGTTATTCCAATATAAGAGTATTTCCAGAAAATGATTGTCCATTTTAATGTGTTTAACACAAGCCATGTTCAATCCTAAAAGGGCAAATTCCAAGGGCATGTGCAACATGAATGTTGAAGTTCTCTAACTGGGAACTTTGCTTAGAATAATTCACCAATGTAGATATATGAAATCCAAGTTATTTTACATTTCTTTCATGGCGTTGATCATATAATCTCCAAAGGGGAAGTACACTGAGAAGATCAATCCATAAGATGATGTATCAGCTAATAGAAATTCTAGGACTCATCTCTTAAAAGTCTTTGGTTTAGATATATCACTGCAATAATAAATAAAGTTTTATATGAGCTCTTTTTCTGTTACATTTGGCTCTTCATCTTAAAGCCAGCAGTCACCTGAAATACTGTTAACTGTCACTGGTAACAACAAAAAACAAACAAACAAACAAAACCCAGAAAAACAAAACAAAAAAAGAAGGGGAACTGGGTATCTTACACGCAATGTGTCCAGATAATGGAGCTCAAGTAAAAATAAGTGGAAGATGTACCAGCTTAGATCCACTCCTACTGCAAGGTGGCAGCATAGCAAGACAAAGGCCATCAAAAATAAAACAATATTTCCTAAGTATTACTTTCCTAACCTCTAAGTCTAGTGATCATTTCGCAGAAAAGATGCTCAATAGAGAGCAAGATCCAATGCTGACCTTGGCCAGATCAGCAGTGCAAACCTTATTAAGAGGCTGAAGAACCTACTCACAATTTCCAAAGGGAAAGTATTTCAGTAAGCAAAAGATGGTGTATAAGATGAAACATTTACTTCAATATAATTTTTTACAAGCTAGTAAACTGAGTGATCATAGAATCACAGAATCATAGAACAGTTTGGGTTGTAAGGAAGACTTAAAGGTCATCTAGTGCAATCCCCTCTGCAATAAGCAGGGACATCTTCAACTAGATCAGGTTGCTCAGAGCCCCATCCAACCTGACCTTAATGTTTTGTATACATTTTGAAAGCTGTTATTCTTAGACAATCACAGCCATGTATCCATTGAATTCAGTATTTTGTGGTTATTACTGCTGTTTGATGCAAACATGGTTTTCAACCTCATAGCTGCTTTTGACATTATAGCTTTTAAATCCATATCTTGCACAAGAACAAGATTTCATCAATGATATGCACTTTTCCCACTGATTTACTATTTCTACAGATGCCTTAAGAGACCTTCTTTTGGAGACTGTTATTCTGAAATTCTCAGTCCTATTGATTTTAGAAAAGCTTTGGGATTTCCTTCCCCTCTTCCTTCTTCCCCAAAATATCCTCCAAAAATTATCCATGTTTCAGTGACACATTTTTGGCTGCAACAGCTTCAGGAGCCTTGCAAGGCTGTCAGGATATACCTCACTTAGCTGTGTAAAATCAGTCATCTGAAATTTAAATACAGTACATTAAGTAGCATATATTTGCCAGTAAATTTCACTATTTCCTTTTTTTCATCCTTAGCTGTCATTAGAACAGCTCATTATATTTTTCACGTAAATTGCTACAATTCTGTATATAAAATCAACCCTTCTGACCCAAGCTAGACCCAAGAGGCAGTTCAGCAAAGGCTGGACAAAGCTCAAAATGCATAAAGCTTATTATTACTGCTTACCTTAGCAGTAATGGCCTCCACAAGAGTTGTAATAACTCAGTGACAGACTTCTTCATGGCCTGTAGACTTTGATACTTCTATTCTCCACTGCATATAATAAATACTGTTTTTAAATTGGTTCTATGCTCATTTGTGCATTAAATCCAGAGTACAAGCTTAACAATATCTTACTACCCTGTTGTGCTGATTAGACTGGATACTAATGAGTGCTTTTAGGTAATTATAACGATGCAAGATGATATCTTATTTTTTTAGAACATAAATATATCATTTAAATATAAACAGGGAAATTATTTCTAGAATGCCATTTCTCTCAAACATCCAAGATTTTCTTGGAGAAAAGTCACAAACTGGAAACCCCATTCCAGAGAAAGAAAGGATGAAGAAGATAAAAGAGTAGGAAATTCAACTAGGCAGGTAAAAAGATGCAG